AGGCTAAGAACCCTTGCCTTCAAGGTTCTCTTTCTAATAGGTAATGAACATATTCAAAATATTAAGAAAAATATTATCAAAGTAGCTACATAAATATATTGATTTTTCCCTAGGACCACATTGTATATTTGTAACAAAAATTCAAGATGTTTGGGATGTCAATTTTGTTTATACAAAATGATATATACATGTATATTATACATGCATGACACGCATACATAATGGCATATGCATATAAAACAATTTGTGCCAGAATTAACTTTATTTTTCAGAGTTACTGGACTGGTACACTACTGTATGTTAGAGCTAAATTAACATATTTTTCAAGAAAGTGTTTGACAAAGTATCATGTTATTTTTGTGAAGAAGGTGAAAAGATGTGGTCTGGATAATAGTACAGCTAGATGAACTAGAAATTTATCAAATGATTGTATCTGAAGAGTACTTACTAATGCATTGATGATAACTTGGAAGGACTCCAGAGAACACCCCTAGGATTTTTTTTCCTTGGTGCTTTTAACATTTTTATCAGTGACTATGATAAAGAGATATATAGGGCATTCATCAAATTTACAGCTTATACAAAGCCAAGAGGAAGTGTAAATACAATGAACCAGAAAAATCTTGACAGAGTGCATTGATAAACTGAATTAAAGACTCTGAAATTTAATATAAATGTACAATCTTCTACTTTAAAAAAAACACTTCAGAAATCAAAGATGAGAGGAAAGTAGCTAGATAGTAGTTTGCTTAGAAAAAATTATTAAACACACATGTACATATCAACATATGTGTGTTAAGTCCATATATGTCACAAAATTCATTTATTTGTGAGCATGTAAAATACATGTGTGCTTGTGTATACATACATTATTGCATATGTGTATATTTATATATCTGCATCATACATAGGCATATGCAGATACAATACACAGATATGTTTACATGTATATCTATACACACATATCTATTGCAATATGTGTATATACATATATGTTTATATGTACATCTACATATGTGCATTTTACTCTCCTACAAGTTTTGTATGAATCAATAATATGATGCAGCAGCCCAAAAGTATTTTACGTGATGTTAGGGCATATCAAGAAAGACATATTGTCCCTTACTAGGGAGACGATTGTCCCATTTATTATTACCCAGTCAGGCTACGGCATATGTGCTCAGCTCTGGACACTATGTTTTAGGAAGAACATTGAAAGAACTACCTGAATGATAGAAAGCATCAGAACCATTCCTTTTGAGGACTGGTTGAACAAACTGAGGATGTTTATCCTATAGCAGAAGGTCTTAACCTTTTCTGGTTCCTGGACCTTATGAAAAAGGGGGATTAAATTTGAGGTGGTTGTTGTTCAGTTGCGTCTGACCCTTCAAGATACTATTTGGGGTTTTCTCAGTAAAGTTACTAGAGGGGTTTGCTATTTACCTCTCCAGTTCATTTTACAGTTGAGGAAACTAAGACAAATAGGGTTAAGTGACTTGCCCAGGGTCTTACAGCTAGCAAGTGTCTGAGGCCAGATTTGAACTTAAGAAGATGAAGATGAATCCTCCTGACTCTAGGCCAGTGCTCTATCCACTGCACTGCCTAGCTGCCCAAATTTGAGGTAGCATGCTGCAAAGATAAAAAACAGTTGCCTTAAGGGGGTGGGGGAGGAGGAGGGAAATCTTCCTAACAGAATTGCCAAGAAGTAGAATGGTTTATCTTGGGAGATAATGGTTGTTCTCCCTCTTCTTCCCCATCCACCCCCATCCACTCACTCTTAGTGAGTCCATGCTAGATGACTGCATTTCAGGGGTATTGTAGAGAGGATTCATATTAAGGCATGGGTTGGATTATCTGGCTTCTAAAGTGCCTTCCAACTCTGAGATTCTAGGTGCAGAAGGTGAATCAATGGTCGCTTGGGTACGAAGGCCTGACTATGGCATCTGGGCTGCCACAAGGCACCTGGTTTTTGTCCTGGAATCTGACAATAAAAGTAAACTATGAATATACCACATCAGAGGGCATGCATAGGGATTTTGGTAGCTTCATCACCTATCAGGGATACATGTCCAGGTGAAAACGCAGGACACCAACACAGAAGAAAAAAGTCCTTGATGATAAGAATAGTGCTCATAATAAGTCACATTTATGTAATGATAAACAAAATATATCCACATTGCTTTCATCACAACAACCTTATGAGACAAGTAGTATATTATTATCCCCATTCTGTGGATGAGAAATCTAAAGTCCAGAGAGGTTTAGATGGGTAACTTAGGGTCAAGCAAGCTAATTAGTGTCGAAGTTTGGACTCTACCTGAAGCTTTCTGACTCCAAAGCTAGTACTATTCCGCCACACTACGGTGCCCTAACTAACTGCGCAGGCCATCTGGTTCTGCTTGTACAGAGGTAGTGAACTTGTACCTTTCTGGCCTAAATCATTAGGGCCCACAATACTGAACCTCTCTCTTCCTGAAGAGAGCCTTCCCTTGAATGGCAGGCTTTAGCTTTCTTTCATGAGTATAGCTGTGGGCCTCGATTGGCCTTCCTGGATGTAGTGCCCCTGCCTCTCCTGCCCATCACTGCAGCTTTTCTGAAATGAGCTGAGGCTGAGGCTGAGGCTGAGGCTGAGGCTGTGGAGGCCAATTAGCTGGGAGGGATGTATGAGCCCCCTTTGGAAATCTGCCTGCTGCCACCTATCTACCTAATTTCCTATAGAAGATTTCCCCCTCCCCTTCCCACCTTCAACATCTGGGGGAAAAAACTGAACAACAACTTTTGGTATCACTTTGTACACTGATCTTAGATGTATCCTACTTCTCTCTGCTGCCCAGTTGCTCTTTATTGCTATCTCTGCAGGCTCTATTCTGCTAGTTTTAGACAGTTCTGAAAATAATAGGATCATATATTTGGAGTGGGAAAGGACCTTTGATGCTATAGAATCCAACCTCCTAATTTTACAGATAAGGAAACTGAGACACAGAGGGATTAAGAGACTTGCCGAGGGTCATCCAGCTAGTTTGTGCTGAAAGTGGGATTAGATCCTAGGCCATCCTGATTCTAACTTCACTGCCCTACTCACTATGCTCAGCTACCACTCTAAGGGGAAACATAGACATGGAGATGAGGATTACCCAAGTCAACCTGGGATCTCATAATTTGAGAAGGTAGGGACCAGGAGATAGGAAAATCTTATGGAGAGAACTGGCATAGACTTCTTGTTGTCTTTACACATAGTAAGAGCCAGCTCCCCAATGAAAACCAAAGAAACCTATGAGAGGAAGCCAAGAAATTCTCTATCTAAGTGTCTTCTTTTCCCAATTTGACCACAAATCTTTGTTCTAGCCTTGGTTGTCCCCACTGAATCCTAGTCACTAATTAGGGAAAGGAAGGACCTGGGTAGTAATGGCCTCCCCAGAGTTATGGGAACACAATTCCTGAATGGGGTGTGGGGATAACTGTTGACAAAAAAGACAAAAGAAGACAACATTGATGATACTCATTGGGACACTGCTTAGAGAAATGTCCTTGGAGAGGAGGCTGATTGGGGAGGGACACTATGGAAGGGAGTAAGGTGAGAACAGTAGAGCAGCAAAACAGTTAGAAGAAGCTAGGTCTCTTTCATTCAGCTATAGGATTTGTGAATATGGTTGAGGGAGACAAAAGAGCTGGAGAGTGGGGATGGTTTGGGGAATCTCACTTGGGAGTGATCTGGAGCAGAAAGAGAGACATACCCAGGAGCCATTGCAACCAAGTATTCACATTTGTGGGGATTTGAGACACACTTACCTAGAAGTCTTGGGGTTCTTTCTCTGGGAATGAAGTTGCAGGTATAGGTTTGCTAAGGATTCTAGGGACCTTCACTCACATTGGGACTTGCCAACCATTAATAAATAGAAAAATCAGTTTCTTGACTTAAAGGTGTTTTATTCATTTCATGGGTAGCCCAGCTCTTCCCTGAGCCAGTGCCTGTTTATCTTCAGTCATTGGTTGGATTGTGGGTGAGGGATGGCAATAAATTAAGTAGATGGTGGGGGGGTGAGTTGCTGAGAGAGAAGCAAACTGCTAAGGGAAAGCAGGAGGCTAAGGGAAAGAGAGATAATGGGGGTGAGTCTTAATGAGAGAGACAGGAGGGAAGCAGCTTGGAAGGAGGGCAGAACTGATGATGCTGAACTGCTCACACTGAGGTCTTTATGGCCAATAGGAGTAGCTCCAACCCATCTTTAATTACTCCTAGTTTTGTGAGTCCCTCAAAAACTTTTCTATTGAAGAGAACTTTAAGTCTTTCTACCTTACCTGCTCCCTCTACCTTTCATACAAAATCCCTTATTAACCTCTTTTCTTATTCAATCTCTTCTCTTCAAAAACTTTTTCCCAGTCTGTCCACACATTTGCATTGCTCTTCTAAGGCAAAGATTGTATCTCCTTGTTCTTTAATTCTTAAATTTGTGTGTGTGTCTGTGTGTCTGTGTGTTGCTGACATGAGTTTGGGGAAATTCCAGTGTGGAAACTCTCCATTGAAGCAAATTGGCAATAGGTCTGTAAATTAAAGTCTCAGACAATTCCCTTGGGTCACTGAGAGGTTAAGTAATTTGTCCTAGGAACATAGCTAGTTGGCATTCATAGTTGCTAGTTGGCACTTGACATTTATAACTCCATGGCAAGCCCTCTACCTGCTATGCCATGCTTCCTCTCTAATCTTTTAAACATCTTTTCAAAACATGCCCCTTCTAGTAAGACTCCCTAGGATGTTGTGAGTAGCAATGGCTTATTCAAACTTCTTCTGTGAAATGCATTTTCCCCAGTAATTCTCTACTGTTGCCACTCTTTAATGCCAAAGGGAAGTGGCCTCAATCTAATGTGTAATTGAAAAAAGCAAAAAGTCCAAGAAAATAATGGTGAAGTAAGTTTGTAACATGACTGTTTTGATCTAGAAAGCCTTGCTGTCCTTGGATTCTACCTTCCTGTCTAAATCTGGGAATGAATCTACTGCAGACTCAATGTCAGAAATGAAGAATCAGATCACTGATGAGGTAAGGGAGCCCACTGGGATGAGGAAAATCATGGTAGTACCCGATGCATCAAACTGTCTCTCAGTCAGTCATTTGGTCCTTCAGCCAACAGCAGCATGGATTTTATTCTCTTTGGGCACAGAACACAGTGGGGTCATGCTAACTCAATAAATAACTCTGGTCCCAGCTTGAGATGGAAGTGGAAAGAGCATAGAACTGGGAGTGCAGAAACTGTTTATGCCTATTACCTACTGCCCAGATACCTAAGCTTAGGCAAGTGACTTAGGCAAGAGCTTCTTAGGGCTTCAATTTCCCTATCTGTACATTGGGGGAAATAACACTTGTATTGTAAACCCAGTAGGATTGTTACAAGAATCCAATCAGTTAATGGATTTGAAAATACTTTGAAAAATCTGTCAAGTACTATATCTGTACAAGGAAGGCATTCTTATTATCGAGTATTGGGGTTAATGGTGGGAGAAACAAAGGAAATAGAAGACCTAGAGAGTTTATAATGTACTTGAACAAATATATCTCCTATATATGGAACTGGTTATCAAAGGAAGGAAGGAAAAATGAAGGAAGGAAAGAAGGAAAAAATGAAAGAAGGAAGGAAGCAAAGAAACAAGCAATTATTAAGCACCTACTTTGTGCCATGCAGCGTGTAGAGTGTTTTATACCATTATCTCAGAAGACAAGGAAAGAGAGTCTTTGGTTCTCTCCACCTAGATTAGCATCATCACCCTACATACCAAACAAGGAAAGGAGTGGGTAAGCCAGACAGATAGAAGATACTATAGAGATCATCTAGTGCAACAAACTCATTTTGTAAATGGGGAAACTGAGGTAGAGAGTGCTTAAGAGATTACATCAAGGTCACATAGCTAATAAGAAGCAGACCTAAGATTCAGATTTGTCTGTTTGCTCCAGATTCAGCATCCTTTCCACTACATCTCCTTGCCTTTTAGTAAGTCTTCATATGGTGCTTGACTGCTACTTAGAATAATCAGGAATGGATCCCACAAGGAAAAGATACATGCTGCTCTTCATCCTGATTAATGAATAGAATCTGGTAAAGGAATTCGCTATTGTGAGCCACCTTATAATAATCATCCCAATGGGACTAAGTTTTGTATGTTGGTGAGAAAAGGCAAACCTAGAATAATAGTAATAGGTTCAATTGACAATATTTATAGAGTGTTTCTTTTACTGAGAGTCATTCATAGCATAGTGGATGAAGAGCTGAGCTCTGACTCTGGAATGCTTGGGATGAAGTCCTGCCTCTCACACTAACTGCAGGGGCACCCTGGGCCAAGTCACTTAATCTCTCCACGCTCTAGGCAACTTCCCAAAAATGTATGTTACAGAAAAGATGCTGATCCATATTGGTAGAGATAATAACTTTTCATTTGGGACATCTATGTTTCAATGAAATTGTAGCTTCAGTCGCTCTCCCCTTCTTTACCAAAAGTATAAACTTTGGTGAGGCATGTAGTGTAAGCATCATCACTCATATCTTACAGATGAGTAAACTGGTCACATAGTTAATAAACGGCAGGGTGGGTATCCAACCCCAAATCTCATGATTCCAATCCCTATTCCACTATAACAGATTGTCTCTCAATAAATCCAAGAGAGGTACCGGTAAAAATATGGATGCCAATGAAAAGAGAGAGGCATTATTTGTTCAAATCAACTGAGGAGGCATTGCAAAATGAATAGAGGACCAGCTTCTGAGTCAGAAAGATATGGATTCAAGTCTTACCACTGACACATACTGGACATTTGACTAGGGACGAGTCACTTAACCTCTCAGTGCCTCCAGGCAACTCCCCAACACATAAGAAATAGCAGAAGAGTTGTTGATCTGCTTTGGTAGAGGAGTTCCTTAGGCCAATAAAACCACAATTCTGGCAAACAGTGTACTCTACAAGAGTCTATAAGCATCAGAAGACCAAATTGGGAGAAAAAGCCTTGCATGTCCAATTGGCAAAATAGGAAAAAGTTATTGCTGAGGAAAGGTGGAAAAAGAAAACAGCTCAATTGAGAACAGGAATTCCAGTAAATTAGGATGTAAATTAGGAACTATCTTTTGTGGTGGGTTTTGAGTAGTCCTAGAAAGGTCCCTACTCCCCAAAATACCTGACCCCTCTCCATATGCTTGGATGCCATGTGGCCTAAAATTCTAACATTTTGTTCCATGCTTTGGACGAGGTACTGACCTATCCAGGGGTCTTCTTTTCAAAATACAAAAATCCATTCATTCATTCAACAATATTTCTGAGTGTTATCCATTGGAAATACAAAGATAGAGAAGACATAATCACTGCTTAAAATTCAGTAGGAGAGATTATATGCAGTATGAAATAGCAGTAAATGCTATGAAAGATGTGCTAACAAAGTATTTTTGGAGTTTGGAAGAGGAACTCTCTGTTAGAAAGTTGAACAATGGCCTTGTGGAAGAGGTAGCATTACAAGTGGGTCTTGAAAAAGTGGCATTTTCATAAGGAGAGATATAAGGAAGGAACATCTTCCATGAGAAGAAAAATTGTCAGACATCAATGGGCAGCATTATGGAGACTACAGATTAAGATGTATAATGAAGTAAGTCCAACATGCTAAAATAATATTCTTCAAGAATTAGCAGAGCTATAAGGTGGAAGACAGGTTCAACTTGTCTTGATTGATTCTAGAAGATAAAACTGCAAAATGGATGAAAATTTCAAGGAGGCGGATTTAGTCTTGCTGTAATTTAAAAAACACTTTCCCAACAATTAGGACTGTATCATAGTGCAACGGACTTCCTCAGGAAGTAATGAGTTCCCCCTCACGGGAAGACTTAAAGTAGAAGTTGGTAACTTACATTTATAGAATGCTATTGTGAGGATTCTTGGTCAGTTTCTGGTCCAATACAGTTATGAGATTTTTTTTTTATTCTGTGCATTGAATGGAAGGAACTGGGGATGTTTAGCCTAGAGAAGAGAACAGTGTTAGGGGTGAGGTTGGGTGGTGATAACTGTACTCTACTATTTGAAGAGCTATTACAGAGAAGAGAGTTGATACTCTCATAGCTTGACCATAGAAGGTACAATTTAAACTAAGGGGTAGAAGGTGTAGACATAATTTAACTCAATATAAGGAAGAAGTTCCTAACTATGAAAACTATGTAAAAATGGATTATTTTGCTTCATGGGGTACTGAGCTTCTTGTCACTGGAAGTGTGCATATAGAATCTACATCCTGGGAATGCAATAAAAGAAATTTAAGGTTTTGGGAAAGATTGGTCTAGAAAATCTCTAAGATCTCATTCAATTCTAACATTGTAAGATTCTAGAAAGCACCTGGAAATCCACTACTGCAAAATGGTACATTAATGTTGTAAATTATAAGGGGATAAGGGCATAAAAAGATGAAGTGGGGACCAAAAATAAAGATCACCACTCTAAAACTTTGCTGAAAGTTGCCCCAAAACAGCAAGAGAATTTTAGAAAGCAGAAAGAACTTCTGTTTTTAAAACAGTTTTAGGGGCAGCTAGGTGAGAGTGGATAGAGCACTGGACCTGGAGTCAGGAGGACCTGAGTTCAAATCTGGCCTCAAACACTCACTAGCTAGTTGTGTGACCCTAGGCAAGTCACCTAACCCCCATTGCTTCCAAAGTAAAAAACAAAACACAAAAAACAACTTTTAATGGAACTCAAAGCCAACAATATGAAGCCCTTTAAATAAATTAGTAGAGAATCAATTGATCAGTATACATTTATTATGTGTCAGGCACTATGCTAAGTGCTGGGATATAAAAAGTGGCAAAAAGACTGCCCCTGCTTTCAAGAGGCTTGCTACTAATAGTGGAGACAACATGCAAACAAATATATACAAAACAAGCTATATATAGGATAAATAGGAAACAATTAATAGAAGGAAAGCACTAGAATTAAGAGGAGTTTGAAAAGATTTACTGTAAAAGATGAGATTTTTAGTTGAGACTTCAATAGAAGCTAATGAACTTGGTAGGAGGAGTTGAGAAGAAAGAGCATTCAAGGCATGGGAGACGGCCAGAGAAAGTGCCCAGAACAGAAAGATAAAGTGTCCTATTTGTGACATAGCCAGGAGGCTACAGTCACTGATCAAAGAGTATTTGGGCGGGGGGGAGGAGTATAAGTAGATTGGGAAGGTAGGAGGGGGCCAAGTTAGGAAGAATTTTAAATGCCAAACAGAATGTTTTGTATTTGCTCTTGGAGGCAATAGGGGCCACTGGAATTTATTGAATAGGGGGATTGAGATGGTTGGATTTGTGCTTTAGGAAAACCACTTTTTGGTTGAATGGAAGATGGATTGGAGTGTGGAAAGACTTGAGCCAAACAGACCCACCAGCAGACTATTGCAATAGTCCAGATGCATAAATCTTAACATATTTATCTATATCCTCTATATTTGTCACTTTAATAGTAGATAATAGTCTATTACTTTGATGCAACACTACTGTTTAGTCTTTTAACATGTCAACTATTGATAATTTTTTATTATTAAAAAAAAGCAGCCATGTACATTTTTGGACAGATAAGAGTTTCCCTCCCCTTTTAATAACTTCCTTTCCTAACTTCACCTCCAATGAAATACCCGTCATTTATCTCATTGCAGCCTGGAAGTGACCTTTGTTCTCAGAAGTTTCACAATCTCTGATAGAATCTACGAAGTTAGAGTTGCTTCAAGTAAAAATTAAATGATGGACTGCATGTTTATTATCTTAGGACTAACCTTTCTAATCAAAAGTCTGCCCATAGGATGAAGAAATTTTGACTACAGAAACTTTTTTGGGGGAGTGAGGCAGTCAGGGTTAAGTGACTTGCCCACGGTCACACAGCTAGTAAGTGTCAAGTGTCTGAGGCTAAATTTGAACTCAGGTCTTTCTGTACAGCAACTTTCGAAATTACTTTCTAAACTAGAGAGGAATTTTGGTCTGAAATAAGAAAGGGAATATCGATACCACCGCCATTAACACCCCCAGCAGCAGCAACACTACC